GAAGGTTGAGCGTGGGCGGCGGGTCATTAACCTAAAATTTCAGCCTTCCAGACTCCGTGGTTCCCGAGATATTAATTTACCCGTAAAAAACTTTCACGCGGCCGCACGTGTTACTCGCGGGTACGGCGAAGCTGAATTTAATTTTGCGGGGTCACACGTGGGTGGGGAATGTTACCCTAAATTTTCAGCTTCCTATTTTTTGTGGTTCCCGAGTTGAAAGTTGCGATCCAGTTGCTGCGGACACACATAAACACACACAGACAACCCCGTGACAAAATCCGTTTTGTATTGCTGTTACACAGCACAAAACGCATAAAAAAAAAATGAAATGAATACAGCTGTTTAACAATGAAATAAAACAGAATGAAAAGGCAATAAAAGCTCAAACCAAAACTGTAATTTCAAGCTGGTCGACGGGGAAGTCGAAATAGGTGTTGTACAACGAATCCTTCCTAGGTAGGTCAGGTAATGGCACGAAGCAGCCTATATAAGGCCGCTGCTGTAAAGCAACTTCGATCCAGTGTGGTGTTGTGGTATTGTGGAGGCGACCCAAACGACTCACGAGGGACGCAGACCCTACTTCCCCGAACTATCGCCAAGGAGTCGACGACCCTACTCGACAAGCTGGAGCACTGGGGCAGTCGATGAGCCGGTTAGCCACCAACCCAACAAAGGCAAGCGGGATTTTGCGGCCTTTAACAGGTCGTAAAATAACGGAACATATAAATTAAAGTTCAGAAAAGATGAATTATTCCTTTTGTAGCCCAGAAAAAATGAATTATTCCTAAACAGTATTCCAGGTGGCTGTTCGGTTTGGCTAATTCGTGCAGCAGTTGTCCCGTCAAAACAAGAAAAGATCACGAAGTTGTCGTGTGGAAACAAATTTCCCAGTTATCTGGGCAAGTGGATATCGGATGTTACTTATCCGAACACGCAAATACCATTAGCTAATCATCACAGGCATTGCGGATATTTCAAATTCAGCTATCGCCGGTTACCGTTGGGAGGCAAAATTTGTTAAAAGGTCGCCACGAAGTTGCAAAATAGAGATAAACTGAGTTTTTTTTTACAAAATTAATGATTCAAAATCATGTTCATCACTCCAAAACTATCGCTATTTGATAAAAAAAAAAAAAATGCACATACATTGGGATTTGAGATTGGATGTGTCTGATTTGAACAGCACATTTGGATTAATGCCAATTTTTAGCTTCGGTGATGGCGCATACTCGGCCTTTTTGCAAGCGCATTTTTCGATTAATCGGCGCAAAACATTCACATCCATTCGCTTCAACATATTTTTATAAGTACCAAACGAATTCATTTCCTTCCATCTATTTGAAAGGCACGAAAAAAATGGATACAAACATTAAATGGCCCCTATTTTAATTCGATTTTTTGGAGAAACAAAACACAATTGCCATCCTGACTATCAGTGTTATAGGGCTCATTTAGGCCATTTCTACGGAGTATTTAAACAACTGATGTTCACAATCTAAATCTAGCATGCAGTGGCCCACAAATAGTCGAAATTTAAAGCCGAATGCTGTTTAAGCAACAAAAGAAAAGCGAACTTTTCTATCTTCCAATGATATCAAACAATTCAGTTCATGGCATGTTCGTCGCCAGTGATACAACAAATTATATTCATATTTGTACACTTTCCTGCACAATGGACACACATATATGCCAGACAACTGAAAAAAAAAAAATTGAACTCTGTGAAAAAGACTTTGAAAAAAAAAACAGTAATTTTAACACCACCAATAAAATTGGTAAAACAATCTTTATCTGTGCGGAAAGGTGTATTTATCATAAGAACGCAAAACAAGATAAAAATCCATATAAATAGCAACGCGCATCAGACTAACCGGTGCGATCATGCCTTTTGTGCAATTCAGCCCATCGAACGATTGCTTATTAATGATTTCCACTGCTTTCTACTTTTGTCTATGCAAAAAAGGTTCAAACATTGGAAAATAGTTAAAAATTTCACGCACCAGCGCATGAAAGCTGAATTCGAAACCCTGAAGGGTGAATATCTTTCCGTGTTTAAAAATTTCACGCACCTGCGTATGAAAGCTGAATTCGAAATCTTGAAGGATGAATATCTTTCCGTGATTCCCGAGTTAATAGTTCACCCGCCAAAACTTTCACTAGCCCGTAGGTAGTACCTGAGAGCGCGAGAACGCTAAATTTGAATGGCCAAGGTTGAGCGTGGGCAGGGGGTCATTACCCTAAAACTTCAGCTTCCTGGACTCTGTAGTTCCCGAGATGTTAATTTACCCGTAAAAAACTTCCACGGGGCCGTACGCGATGCCCGCAGGTACGGTGAAGCTGAATTTAAATTTGCGGTGTCACACGTGGGTGGGGGACATTCTCCTAAATTTTCAGCTTCCTAGCTTTTGTGGTTCCCGAGTTGAAAGTTGCGGACAAGTTGCTGCCCCTTAAATTTTCAGCTTCCTAGCTTTTGTGGTTCCCGAGTTGAAAGTTGCGGACAAGTTGCTGCGTTAAATTTTCAGCTTCATAGCTTTTGTGGTTCCCGAGTTGAAAGTTGCGGACAAGTTGCTGCGGGAAACGTTACCCTAAATTTCCAGCTTCCTAGCTTTTGTGGTTCCCGAGTTGAAAGTTGCGGACAAGTTGCTGCGGACACAAACGCATACAGACAACCCCGTGACAATATGCGTTTTGTACTGCTGTTACACAGCATAAAACACATAACAAGCACGTATATACTGATGCGCATCCCGCTTTCAATATCCCCCCTCCCCCAAATTTTTCTTGTCTGCTTTCTCAATTTTCCCTTTTTCTCTTCGCTCGCTTTCTTCACCTCACTTACCACTGCCTAAACTCATTTCTTCCAAGGCTCCTTAGACACCAGGAGTGGCATCTTCATTGCTGTACTATATTTCACTTGTTTTATTAAGATTTTAAACTTGTAAAAATTTCCAAATTAAAAATCCATACTTTGCTATTTCCTCAAGTTCTTAGCTCACAACCACCTGAAAATATGATTCACTATGGCTCAGGGAAGACATTAAGCCCTCTATCGACAAAAATATATATAAAAAGCGCTCTTTTTCGCACTTTTCTCTCAAAACTTGATAAAAGCCCCGTAGTCCGTCTTCATCCCAGAAG